AATTTTGTAAGTGTCTAAGGGACTTAAGAGATCAAATATCTGGTAAATTTAATTAAGTGCCTCACTTGAGGCACTTCTGATAATTTACACAATTTACCAGGAAAAAACCAAATTATAAAAAGCTTGGCACCAGTTATGCTGGAGGCAAAACAAACCTTACTCATTAGGTCTCTCACTACTCTGTATATCCTAAGTTGGGTGGTGGATCCCCAGGGAATTTCCCCTTGAACACATCCTTTCTTAGCAGTCAGAGAGCAACTAATGTGTGAGAGTGCCTAGAAGGAGTCACTGTTTTTGAGTGACAGCATGTAAACTGTACAGTCTCCTGTAGAAAGGCTGTCTGCTGGTATTTCAGTTCTCTGATAGGGATTCTGTTTCCCCTGTAGTCTGGCCTCTCCTTGTCTGTTTGTTTTGTTATCGTTTGTATGGAGATCATCAGATCCAAGTACATTTGACATATGGAGATAAGTCAGGAAAGGAAACAACATATGGCAGACAATTCATATCCATCAAGATCTGTCATAAACCCATTTTTAGCAATAGAAGAAGAAGAGCAGAAAAAGACAGCAGGTTTGAATTTAAAATAAGCATGCTGCTCTAACAAACAGGAGGGCCTAGGGCTTGCTTTGCTAAATGAGACCATTGGTTCTCCAAAGCCAGCACCTGCTGCTGCTTCAACAGTGGGTTAAAATCCTCTGCAGTGCATTGGCCAATTCCTTATTGACCATCATGACTGATTAATGACTAATCTCAAAGCCTTGAATGAAGACACCTGCACTGGCTGTCTAGCCTGTTGAATCACTGCCTTGAGATACTCCTGGTCTAATCCAGCTGTTCAGCCCACATTTATGGGGAAGAGGGAGAAAGGGAACATCATACTGTACAGGTGCTAACGGGTGAGTGGGCCCAGAGACCCCAGTGTGCAATACATGGCCCTGTCCTCAGTGTCTTTTCTGCCCTGTAGCAACATCACATAATTGATAGCATAGACGAAACAGTCCATGTCCATACTAGGAGGGCACTAGCATTGTCTGTTGGAAAGGTGGGCAGGACTGAATTCAGGCTGAATTCAAATCATCTACAAAGGTGCTCTGGATATGTAGTCCTGGGTCTCAGGAATATGCTAGGCTTCAGGCTATTCCTGGGACTGGCTGCCTCAGGTAAGGTGTAGCTGTATACCAGAAACATGGTATTTGATTTCTTTAATAAAAAAAAAAAAAAGCTGGTCCTTCATTTTGCCTGAATTGAACTTTTGGCTGGAGAGCAGTATTTTGAAGGGTTGTATCTGCTCTAGACATGGCTGTATTTGGATTATTTGGATATATTGGGAAGTTTTAAAGGAATGAGGGTGCTTTCCAAGAGAGAAAAATACTGTGTGTCACTAATCTATGTAACTTAGTTAGTAACCAATTGAATTTTTTCTGTAAAATTTAGTGGCCATTTTTCTCTAGGGGAAACCTGGCCTTTTACCAAAGAAAGTGGCCTTTTATGTTTACATGGTTTCCTTTTTATAACCCTGTAGAAGAGTCTTGCAAGATAGAAATGTTGGTTTGAGGATGAGCAAAGCTCTGCAAGGGAGTGTTTACATTGCCCAATCTAACAGAGGTCTCACAGGCTCAGGCCCTCCTGTGCCAAGAGGAAGGAGCAGCCTCAGGCTCCTTCTCTTGAATCCAAAAGCTGAAAAACAGAGGAGAAATAGCCACTGTGCAGATATACACTTTGAAGGAGGATCTTCTCCCAGTCTTTTTTCCTCATATTCTTTTACATAAGTTCCAGTAGGGCCAACCTCCTGTCTCTTCTGCCAATTATCTTCTCATCTGTTATTTTCTCTGCTCCAGGAGCAGAGTAGTTGAGCTGTAATGGTGGAGTTTGCTGGTACTACATTTCTGGAAGTAAGCTTGGCCAAGTGTGTCTCCCACTCCTGCCTGGGTGAGCAGGAAGGATAAAGCCTTTGTCTGGTCTAAAGGACATCGAAGCCCAGCCCTGCCCGGAGCATCACCACAGTGTCACAATAAGGAGGTGTTGTTGAGCATAGCAATCCTTTACAGTTGCCAGCTCAGAGGGTTTAAAATGCAAAATGGCATTTCAGTGTTTAAGAATAGCAAGTAATTTGACGGCTGTAATAGAAAAGCTTCCAATAGAAAAGCAATGTGTTCCAGAGCTGCATAACACTGCTGATAAAATTGCCTTTGGATTCCTTGTCTAATATTCCAGCCTTTCTCTCGCTCAGCAAAACACAATAGCTTGCACTAAGCCTCCCTGGGAGGGCAGCTAACAGCACATTTACTAGACACTTCAAACATTTGATCATATTTCTCCTGAGTATATTTAATATCTGTTAATGTCAGCAGCCCCAGCCTGATCAAAATACCTGCATTGCTGGGAAAAAATGTTTAATATAAAAGATGACACGGGTAAGCAATCACTTACTGATGTCTTTTGGAAATGGATAGGTGACTATCTAGGCTCCCCCTACTCCACTTCTGCCTCCCAGTCCCCCACCCTGATCTGTTCCCACCCTGCTGCTGTGTGCTCCTCTGAATGCATTAGAATGGTTATTCTGAGTATACAGGAGATGCCAGGAATAGTTTCAGGTTTCCTGCCTCATCAAACCAAATTCAATCTGTAAAAAATTAATACACCCAGAAGGAACAGTTAAAAGCATCTCCAATCAATTACTGTTAAAATGGGGGCTAGAAGGCTGATTTGTTAAATGAAACCCAATCCAGCTCAGAGCTCAAGAGGATACTGAGACAGCAGTACAGCAACGAGTCAAGCTGTGGTGCTTCAGAGGAGGATAGCAAAGAAGGTATAGGTTGAACCAACGAATGTATCACTCTCAGCTGCACACTGCTTCAGGCTTGGGGACCCCCAAAATCACACCCTGTTTAGGGCAGGCCAAGGAAGTCTCAGCAGAACAGTCTTCTTCCCAGACTTCCCACAAGGCAGGAGGCAGCACAGGTGGCCGTTTGCAATGGCCATTTGCATCTTCTGTCCTTTCTTTCAGTGCAACTGGAGTGAGAATAAAGGATGCAGCCAGCAGCCTTGAGAGATCTGCACACTTACAACAGCCCCATGTCTACTGCACTGCTCATTCCAGCAGTTCAGAAGACAAGTTGGTACATCATCCACATGAATTTGCCTTTAAAAATCGTGAGTCAAAAATAGATAGATGAAAGTTGTTTGGTTTTTTTTTCTTGATATCTGAACATTGTTGACATTCAGTGTTATTTGTGATGGAAGCTGAGACTCTCATATCATCTCTTGACTTCAGGGCCTGGAGCTTCAAGTTGCAGTTTTAAAGGTTGAATAAGTTTCAAGAACTGCCAACAAAGAGCCTTGTGGTGTAATTAAACAGAAATTTCAGTAATTTACACACAGTGGGTTCAATTGGTAACTCTTGACTGTCTCTTGTCTGGTGTGCCAGTCTTCATAAAACTGAATTCCATTTTTTTTTCCTTCAAATGCTGTCTGCTTGTTTCCAAGCTGTAGAAAATTTCCAAATCATCTCTGAAGTTACATTTGAATGAAACCTTTTCAAGAATATTTTCTTGCTACTTAGTGCCTTAAAAATAAATAAATAAACACACAAACAATTAGGTACACAACCAGCTGAAGCCCATTGTCACTACTTTGCCTCTGATTAATGTAGGTCACACTTTTCTTCCTTCCAGCTATTAAGTATTTAGATCCATTTATACTTTAATCCCTTGTCTTTTTCCTGGTCCTTTGTTGCTGTGTTACATCCTCACAGTCAGAGAGCACTGAACTAAGTGGTAGAAAAATGGGAAGAGGGAGTTAAGGCAGTAATCCGGCTTTGAAATAAAAAATTGGCCTGAGGTGAGTGCTTGAATCTGAAGAGCTTACTGAAGGCAGAAGGGGAAAAATAATATGGCAGGAGAAACTGAGGCAATATGACCTGAGCCAAGATTAGTACTTATCTAGATGGGGTACTTGAATTCAATCCTCATGAGAAAGGGTTAATTAAACTGCATTTCCTTGAGTGTTGACTGAGTCAGGACTAGGAGTGAGAGATTTTTGGAAGGCTATGATTGGATTTTTAGCGTTGTTACGTAAGAGAGTAGTTCAGCTGGTGCTGGAGCTATGCTGCTTGGTGGGCTGCTGTGTTCAGTGAGGGCTTCATGCAACCATGAGAAGGAATCAGAGAGGTCCAGAGCTGCTGAGATGGGAAGGGTTCATATTGTGCTCCTCACCTTTCCCTATATCCCTTTGTTCAGGTAGAGGAGCACTGCACCTGAGAAATATGTTCATTTTGCTCACAAATCTTTGCCTGTGAGATTCAGAGTGTGTTCTGGGCTTGATCTGTTCCAAAAACTGTATTTCCCTTGGAGCTGGGAAGGAAATTTTTTAGACAGCAGCAACAACTGTGCTCATAGTGAGGAAATGTGTCTGCCTATTAGCTATCTATTGCTTTTTCTATACACTTCTCTATCTTAAACAGGTAGCAGCAACCTCCCTTTTGGTTAAATTAGAGGAAACAGGCTGGAGAGAGCTCAAGTAAAGCCAGCTGAGATATTCTTCTGTTCAGTAAAACAAGTTTACACAGAAATACAATTATTGGTCTCCTCTGTCAATAACTGGACACGCTGACTCCATAATGCCCTAGTTCACATCTCTAGTTCTTTGCTGCTTGAAAGTCAAACCAATTTCCTAATGAAATATTGAAAATAAAGTACCTATTTTATGGAGACTTTTTGGACTCCGTGCATTCTGTGTCGCAACAGGTATAAACAGGGTTTTGCTGAAAAGAGAGCACTGTTATTTCATTTTTCCAGGTCTGAGCAAGAGGAATGATGTTTCTGCAGTCAGATATAGGAGACTGCATTGTGCCCTACACTAAGATACAGTAACACATAGTGTGGTGCAGCTTTAATTTTAATTCAAAATAAATATTTCCATAACCTACAAAATTCCCCTAATACACTTATCTGGGAGAACACAAAGATTAAAGAAATCCTGCTAATTCCTTTATCTTTCAGATACAGGGCTGAAAACAAAGACATCCAAACCTTGAGCCATTTAGAAGAGGAAGAAGCCAAAATCTGTGCCAGAGGTTTGACTGCTGGGTTTACTCATGGCTTCAGGTAAGCTTCTTTCCCTGGGTTGTTTAGCATTTCAGAGGCCCTCTGTGTTCCTCAAGGAGAGCTGTGGATTACAGACATAAAACCTTGCATAGCTTGCAGCCAAGGCAGAGCAGGGGGAGTACAAACAAGCTAATCCAGGGTGCCTTCCTATCCAGCCGCCTGCCTCTGACCCTGGCCAGCACTCCATGCTTCAGAGGAAGATGTAAGAACCTCACAGCAGGCAGATGCAGGATAATCAATCCTTTCAGCCTTTTTCTCAAGCCCCATTAGATCTCATCCTGATCCTGAAATAGTTAGAGGTTGGATTAAGTCTTGAAGAATGGCATTTAATACACTCTAAAAATTGTTGTTATCATTAACTCCCATGACTCTGGAAACTAATGTTATCCTTAGACAAATACATTTTCATTTTGAATCACTCTGTGTCCTTGGTCTACTATAGCAATGAGTACATAGGCTTAAACACCTGTTTGCAAGAAGCATTTAATATTTCTTTCTATCTGTGGTGATTTTGCTGTGATTTTTTTCACTGCCTATCTTTTTTCCTGACATTATGAAGTTAGGAGTAGGGATAAAGTGGGTATGCTCTAAAGATTACACATTCCTTCCTCACATTATTGTATAAAAGGTCTCAGGGGATGAATTCTTTCAACAGCTTAAGCATTAGTTTGGCAGCCTGCTTCCAGCCCCATTAAAAAATACAGATACCCTAAACACAAGCCCTAATCCATACCTTAGTCCAAATTGCTGACCTTGGCTAACTTTTGTTTCAGCTTTCCCAGGCATGGTTAGGATAAGTAGGATCTTATAGGAGAGCTATTTTTGCAGAACATCTATCCTTTGGCAGCCCCTTTCCTGCCCTACTCAAATTGGAGTAGTAGTTTTTGTCCCTCTCCTAACCCTAACCCTTTCACTCATCCTTTTTGTCAGGGCAGCCTTAACCAAGACCCTCAGATATCCTGGAAGTGGAAGAGTTTTCAGTCCAGAACATTTGCAGCTTCCCTGTTCCTTTGGCCTCCCTTTCTCTCCCTGCACCAGTTGTAGCACTCTTACTGTAGTCATTTTTAACCCTAACCTTAGCTAATGGCTTTGTCTTCTGCTCTTTCCCTAAGATGTCTTCTTAATATCTTGCTTTAACAGCAATCATGTCCCCATTTAACTTGTGCAGTATCTCTGAGGAAGTTTTCAGAGCCAATGAAGGACACGATGTGTAAGATTTCAGCTGGGTTTGTGGTGCTTACCTAGAATTGCTCAAACGTATTTGAGTGTTTAATTTTTAATCAATTTTGGCTATCTGCTATCATTTGTGTACAGATTGAATCTACATGGATATATCTACAGTGATGATTTGAACTGTTTCCTTGTGTCACCTGCATTATATCTTTGTACCACTTGCGGTGCAGCATCCTCTCCCTAGCCCCAGCTCTTGACTATTCCTCCTCTTTCTCTTGCATGTTGCATATTCTGTTCTTCTCTCCTGCTTGGAGCTCCTCGCTGAGGCAGAGGCCAAGGGGCACCTGAGGGACCCATGTGTGTATTTGTGTGTTGTGGGCAAGAAAATGCAGAGGAGGCCCTGCCTGTGTGAACTGGCAGAGCCCCATGCTGTGAGCTGGGTGAGGGAGGCAGGCAGGGGAGGTGTTGCCCTGCTGTGAGGCACAGCCTCTCCTGTGGTGGGACAGGGGCAATTGCTGCTCAGAGCTGCCGTGGCGTCCTCTGCCAGAGACACTGGGCATGTGACTGCTGCCCTGTGCAGCAATGAGGGCCCTCAGCAGTTTGGGGGTACAGATCATGGGATGGGTGTAAAAAAACCCCCAGCTTTCTCAGTAAAGAAAAAATTTCCCACTTACATTTAGAATTCTGTGCAAGCGATATTTTCCCCTTTTCCAATGTTACATGTTTTCAGTGTTTTGGAACTTGAATTTGATTACTTGGGCCAGTCATCTGGTTGCCTAAGGTCTTCCTGAATGTCATTGTAATAATTCTTCCTACTCACCCACCTAAAAATTTGTGCCCAGTGCATTTTTGCTATTTCAGTTCCAGCCCCTTCTAGATTGTTCAAAAACACAAGGAAATTAAACAGTGTGGCATCCAGAGTGGAGGCTTGAGGCATATGACATTTGTCAGGGTGAAAATAGTCTATCTGATTCTTCACTTCTTTTCCCTTTGTTAAAGTTTCATCAAAATAATAGTTTACCTGCCTCCACTATGCTGTTTGAATTCCTATAGTTTCTCTTTTTTGCGATGATTGCTCAAAAGCATTTTGACAGTCTGAATAAGTCGTGGCTTTCCTCTGACATGGCCAGAGAATTATGAGAGATTAGTGAAACACTTCTACCTTCTCTGGCTGTCATTTTAAACAACCCGTTACTATTTTCTTCCCATTCTTAATGCTACTCTTAAGGAAGAATGGCTGAAACTTTTCAACTAAATGTACCTTGTTAGACTCCAAAAATCTGTTTCTATTACTGTGCTCATCACACCACCACTCAGCACTACCAGGCTTTTAAATGTGGAGATCAGTAGTAATTGGAAGAGCATGAAGTAATTGGAAGAGCATAAGAAAGGGCAGATTTCAAGAGCTTAGGGCTTGGTTTTCCGAACAGTTTGGTGCTCATACCTGGTACTGGAGTTTCACAGACCTAACTCTGCGGGAACCAAACTGTTTTGGAAACTTGACCCAGGCTTGTGCCTTGGCCTCTCCTAACAAGCTGGTGAGTCTTCATGGCACAGTGCAGCTCTGTGCAGGTAACAAATCAGCTTGTATAGATCCAGTACACCTTTCAGTGCCCAGAAAATCAGTCTTGCTGTAGAGCAAAGCAGCTTCACAGCTATTCCCCTTCCAGTTTGGGTGATAATTAGGGTAGAATTAACTTGATGGCCTCTGCTCTGTGTATGGTTGCATCAAGAAGAAAAGTTCATGCTTTGAAGTCCACAGAGGGTGCTTTGGGGAGTGTATAGGCCCATCTCCAATCTCAGACAATGAGGAACCCTCTTTCTGCAACTACTTCTACATGGGGTGAACCCAAAACCTATGCAGGTTGCTTCCATCATAAGCCAACGCAGATACTGAGGAGGTGCAGGTGCCATTGCCTCAGGCACTCATCAAAATTCCCCTCTGACCCTCACAGCTTCTTCAGGACTGTGAGACCTCTAAGATCAGGCTATTCATCCTACTTTTCCCAGAGAAGTGTGGCTTGTCCAGTGGGACACATGTTTCTTTGCAACTGGTTCTTCAGCCTGTGATGACTAACAAAGTAGCCCTTGGTTGACTGCACAGATACATCCCTGATATTCTGGTATTGCCTAACTCCTCTCAGAAGAAAGGAATGCTGCATTTGATGACTTAACCTAGTCAATGGACACTGTTCCTGGAAGAAAAAAACCAAACTGAATAAAAGCCCCAAACCAAACAAAAAACCTGCAATACAAAAATCAAAACACCTGGGAAATGCTACTCCATAGAATCCCAACTGTCTTGTCCTGTTGCTAAGAGGAGCCATGCAGCTGTTATAGACACATGCAGGAAAACAATGTTATTAGAGGCATCAGGCATTTGTTCAGGAGACTGTGGGATGCAGCCATTCCTTGGGCATTGCAGATGCATTAAAAGGTCAAACAATCTTTCTATTTCCCAGTTTGCTTCAGAGAGTTTTGTTGAACATTCTCATTATTCGTTGTGGTATTTCTTTGATTTAAGAGGATTTCTCTACATGACTGTAGTTATTAGAATGCAGTCTGTGTGCAGTGAATGTGCTATTACTATAACAAGCTTCTCCTTGTAGTAGATATTTATTCTGAGTGCAAAGCTTTTAGTTCAGCTGTGCATGTGGCAGTGAAGACAAGATGGGGCATGTAATTTGGAAAAAAAATAAAGTGAAATGGGAAAAAGACACAAAATTAGTAGTTTAGAGTAGTGACTTTTGTCTCTGTCTTTATGGCCTCTGTGCCAACTATTAACTTACTTTTCATTACTTTTTTTTGATAGAGAGAAGCCCTGTGCAACAGCATTGAGACCCTGAGGACGGGACCAAATTTTTCTTTTCATATAACTTTCCCCTAATTGCAGCAGGGCTTCAGGTCCTATTAACCTGTAGATGAATTGCAGAAAGGCCTCTGAATCCCTACGCAGTTGTTGGGGATCCTTCCTGACCCTTCTCCAGAACTTGCCTGCTGTTCCTTGTCCACAAGACCCTTTCAGTGTGAGAGAGGGGAAAAGGGATTGTTAGAGGGCGAGACAGTTAAACACACCGCACAATCCTCTGGTTTAGTGAGAGAAGCCAGAGGTAATGAGAACTTTCTGTGGGTTTAGGAACAGTAGGAATCCTGTCATTATCAGAGAGAGATAATTAAAGATATTATAATGAAGATAGGAAGTCAAAGGCATTGTATCATGGTTCCTACTCTATGTTTGAAAAGCCACAGCATATGGGCTTGGATAAGGCTGATTACTTCCCAGAAGAAATAACTGAAGAATCTGCTAAACATTATCTACTAGGACAACATATATCTAAGAGTCTTGAGAAGGTTGGCTCAGGAAACATCTGGTTTTAATGAACCTGGGAGTGCTGGCAATATTGCAGATGGCTGCAAAGGTCTTAGGTTTTGCCGGTAATTCAGAGGTATGTAACAGCAGTGGCTATGATAGTCGTAAGCTGAACAACCTGAAGTTAATATCTGGCAAAATATTGCACAGGGAAATATGAGGTTCAATTTCTAACTAGAAATATAATTAATATCGGGCAGCATAGCTTTCCAGGAGGTAGAGCCTGCTAAACAGAACAACTTTCATTTTGTATGTGATTACAAATTCAGTTGTCGACAGTGACTCTAGAGAGATAATGTGCTTTTGCAATGTGTTCAGTATGACCCAGCACAATATTTTGACTTGAGTCAAAAGAGGCAGGGAATACTGACTGATGGGAGTGAGGTTTTTATGAAATAGTCTGTGTCCAGTGTTATTTCAATTTCTCCATCGGTGATCTTGACATAAATATAAAATT